GTTTTATTTGTCTGGTACAAATCTGAACGCTTTAGTTCTTTTAGTAAACTTCTTAGCCCTAATATTGAGGTTCACCAGTATTCTCTTAATACCTCCTCATCTGAAAGGTCACAAATGTTAAATTTCAGTTACCGGATGTCTTATAATGTATTGTTATGGACACTCATGCACCATTTTAAACTTAAAATTCTAATCAAATCACCAATAAATTGTTTTGATTGCCATACCTGCCTCCTCATTAACTCCTAAAACCAGCTGCATTAAAAAAAGGTTTCGTTTTGCTAAATCTAAAACAAGTGTGGGTGAAAGAAATACGTTAATCAAGAAAAATGCAAAAAAAAAATCACTCCTTTTTTTTCTTTCTCTTATGGAATATCTGCCTTCAGAAAAAATGCGAGAAGTCTCTTGACTCAGGGGAGAAGCCCGAGTTCAACAGATCAACAAGCTTGAAGAGCTTAAGAGCTCTGTCGGTTCTGAACACCGTCAGGAGGGCATCAGAAATCCCTTCGGCACATTACGTAGCTAGAGGCCCTACAGATGCATCAAACAACACAGAAACAACAACAGTGGGTAGGGAAACAACTTTCTTGTTAATCTCAAAGATGTTGACCATTTTCATTCGGTATGATTAATTCCGCCACTTACAATATTAAGACTTACACTAATTATTGAGAATAAGTACCTTGACCGTGTTTTTCCAAAGAACATCTACAAAGAAGAGTTCATCCGACGAAACACTCACCGACCTACTGAAACTACCGAACTACGCGATGAACTAGCGACAATGCAACTCCTACGACTACAGCGACTATACCATACATAAAGAGCACACCTGAGAACATCTCGCGCATCCTACAACCATTCAATATTCACGTAGCTCACAAACCCATTACTACACTACGTTAGTTACTGACTAACGTCAAAGACAAAGACGAACCGAGGAACAGACAGGGAGCAGTTTATAAGATCAATTGCTCCGACTGTCACGCCTCCTAAATTGATGAGACTGGCGGAAACCTCACAACCAGACTGACTAAACACAAACGAGCGACGAGGAAAGGCGATGTCAACAATCACATTGCTGAACATCATCGACTTTACGAACCACACTATTGACTGGGACTCTGTAAAACGCCTAACCTACAGCACCAACTACTTTCAACGACTGACTCTAGAAAGCTGGTTTACTGACTTAGAACAGACTCCCCTCAACAGGTGTCAACCACTACCGGCACCAAAAAACGACTCATCCACGACATTAACATTATAAACGAATCGAACAGAACGACCCAAAGTTACTCATGGATCGACCAACCTACGCCACTTGAGTCTAACAACCAATAACATCGATCACGGCAAAACTGACCAATCAGTTTATACAAACCGGACTTAGAACATTCGAATGACAAAAACCATTCACTTGACTCTGATGATGACTTCCACTCAGGTTGTCGAAACGTCAGTCACCACTACCGAAAACAGTCCTTCTCAAGACTACATTCACCCGCATGATCAAACAATACTTTTACACTACCTGTATTACTTTCAATACAGTGCATACATTACTTACAATACGATCACTTACGCTATTAATAATATTACAGTACAATAAAAGCTTATGATGCTTACAATGCTGACACTTTAACCACTTCCACTGCAATATGATAACTAATGCCACTTGCAATATAATTCGATTGCTTCTGCTACTTGCAACTTTTACACCTTTGACATCACGCATATTTGCATTATTGTATTATTTCAATCCTTGCTATGTTGAGGGGGAAATCGTAAATCAAGTCAGTGAACAATGTTCAATTTTCATTGCATTTGGAGTTTGGTTTGAAGTTCAGGAATATTGGAATTCTTATAAAAAACCTTGCGCGAGTAAAGAGTGTCTCATGAGGAGCAAGAGCAGATCTAGTTTGCGCTTTTGAATGAAGGTCTGCGATATTGGCTATATTTGCCACTGAATTACTCGATCTTAATTGACATTTTTTAGCAATAGACTCTAAAGAAGCTTCTAGAGCTAAAGCTGCTTCTGCCATGAGTCTCGATGGTGCTTTGGACTCTGGTGATCTCCAGTCCTTCGCTTATCAGATTGCCAATGGAATGGTAAGTAGATTTATTTTTAATCTAAGTAGACACAGCGGTCGACTTCTGCGTATGCGCGAACGTTGTAATAACTCGGAAACATGCTTTCAGGTAGTCTTGACGAATTTTCTTACAGGAGTTTCAAGTTATCACACAAGTCGGTTAGTCATAGTGTTCAGTTTAACCGTGTAACCTTTTTCGGTAAAGCTCAAAACAAAATGTGAAATCAACGGGATACCTGTAGTTTCATAAGCTCCGAGTTTAAAAAGTCTCGAGTTTCCCTTGACCTGCCTACTTTTGTTTCCTTTTCTGAATTTTCATGAGCTCGAGCATTTCAATTGTTTCACACATGATTTTCGTGACAGTCATCGTTTTTTTTGATGCGTTCCTATGAAAATTTGCGCGGCTGGTCAAACTTGAGGCCCTTGCGCGTATTTGACCGCTTTGTAGAGGTAATCACATGATTTCGAGTGCAATTTGGTATAAATCAGCACGAGTAAATTATGGGTAAACATTTACATGAAAAAATGCTTCACAGCAAGTCAAGATAAACAAAATTTTGACTGTACGCGCAATTTGTAATTTGCGCTCGTATTAGAACTTTGCACTCGTCTAACATTAAAAATAGCACCGGCTTTTAGCCAATCGGAATCGCGTAATTTTTTCATGCGTATTGTTAGGTATCCAAGTATTGCCTTCCAATGTAATCATCCCGCTGACCGAAGAACAATTTTGCTATCTTTTGTGATTGAAGGCGTATCTATCTGGAAGAGGAATAGTGCACCGAGATTTGGCAGCAAGAAATATTCTGGTTGGTGACGACAAAGTGCTAAAAATCTCTGACTTTGGTCTGTCAAGGGAAGGCATTTATGTGAAGAGAAGCACTGGTAAAATTCCTCTAAGGTGGCTGTCGATAGAAGCCATGCGCGACCGCATTTACTCCACTGACAGCGATATGTAAGTAGCGCAGGACATCAAATACGACTTTTTAGATTATTTCCAAGACCTTTGGCACCTGGTCTTACATATATTCCAAAATTTTTTCCTTCACTGTCATCTCATGAATCATGATCTCCTTTTTTTTTTATGCAGATGGGCATTCGGGATTGTACTGTGGGAAATTTGCACCCTGGGTAAGCTTTACTCTAAGATTGAGTTGTATTTGTGTCATAGTTGTGTCTTACTTGCTGGGATTTTGTGGAAGATGCTGTTGTACAATTTCCTGCGCATTATTGCAGACAGATAATCTCACTGACCCTTGTTCTATCTGTTTTGCATGTACTTTTAGGTGGTTTTCCATACCCAACGATAAACGACAGAGACCTTTTAGGGTTCCTCTTGGAGGGGGAGAGGATGGAGAAACCGACAAATTGCACAGATGAAATGTAAGATTCTTCTTTAGACATACCTGTTCTTCTGCCATCGCAACAAAATTGACCAGTGTTGAAATTTTAATCCATGTCACCGACAATAGTCCTGGGGTCTGGGGATCCAGGCCCCAGGCTCCTCCTCCCCCCATTAGGCATGTAGGTATTTCTACAACTAGTCTGAAACCAAAACTCTTTCATCGACAGGATCGCATACTAACACTCATGTTAAAGTATTCAAAATATACTGATCATGAGATATTTCTAAAGCTATTGATGCTCTTAGGTAAAAACAATTCTGTGTTTTCTGAATTTAAGTCTGTACCTCCCCTCCCCACCCATCAAAATTTTCAGATTCGCCCGACTTACGTTTTCTATGTGAATGCAATGTATGCATGTGAATTTTCTGGGTTTGAATTCCAAGCGATCACACTATTTTCTCGTTTTGATTTTTAGCTACCAGATCATGCTCAGCTGTTGGTCACATGAATGTGGAGACCGGCCTTCTTTTCAGAGCTTGCAAGAGCAGTTATTTGACATGCAAAAAGAAGAAAAACCCTATGTAAATGTAGATCCGTCCCACGATTTTTCTCTGCCTCCGACAGCAGGTTTAGGTAAGAGCCATAGCGTGACAGGTATCCCCATGGGTCCCATAAGGAGTTTGAACGCAGGCAGCTGTAAATGCTCTCAAACCCAGAACCTCGTGTTTGAGAAAATATCTGTTCATTTTCTTGCCTTTTTATTAGAGAAACAAGCTGCATAAATTGTAACAGATCGAACCTCAGTAGCACCGTTTAACAAATCGAGTCGTAACTTTGGGAATAAAATTTAACAGCAATCGTTTTTATCATTCATGTGGACCGCACATCGCTAAGTCCACATCCTGTATGAGTGAGCAAGACAGAATTTCTACTTACAATTAATGTTAGCGTAATACCATACAGATAAGTGATGGGATAAAGAAAAGTATCAAGTAATTTGTTAATTCAATACTAAATTCTCCGAACTAAATCATAAGAATTGCGTTGCAGACAATAAGGAGACTTTCCGGTGGGATCTTGGGTGTGAAAGGGTTTAGGCATTCAGTTCTCAAAAGCATCAGGAGTGAAAATAGAGACAATTTATAACCTTTCAAGAGGCCATACCCAAAATGTCATCTTCCGTTTGGCAGATTCTTTCGGTTCACGCAAATGAAGAGATTACTCCCCACTCCAGGGAACCATGTACTCTGATAGCTATAAAACCAGGGACGTGGACTTTCGTTCTTGATCAGTCATGATGTAATTTCTATTACAGACACTGTTGGAAACCTAATAGCTTTCAGCGACGGGACTTTTAGTGTAGACGCTGCTGACCAATTGCTGTCTCAGACGGATTTTTCTCCAGATCAGTCGGTAGGTGTTCGATGTTGTTATGCAACAGGTAGCTAGTTCATGACAGAACCAACTACAGAAATAATTGTTGGTGGAAAGACCGAAGGACTCTTATGTTAGCGGTCAGTAGCCGTGAAAAGAATTGCGAACAACGGTCTTATATCCGCAAGGCTATTCGAGTCTAATTTGTCAATTAGATTAATAACGAAGTGGATCTAAGTGGGTCGAAGTGAGTCTAATTTGTCAATTAGATTAATAACGAAATGGATTAGCGTCTTGAATCATTTTCCCTTTTTTCACCGAAACTGAAGCCATTTGATTTTTGAGAAAAAGCAAAGATTGTCATTACTGCACACTTTTGTAGCATGCCCCTCGCCACGTATCGCCTACTAGCGATGAAGAGAATGCTGGCTATGAAAGTTCAAATGGATCAGAGGACTTCACAGTTTCGTTTGGAGACAAAGCTGACAGTAGCCACATTCATCTCCCTGCTCTATCAGGACAGCCATTGGTCGATGCAGAAGACAGAAATCCTGAGTTGCTGGTTTAATGTTATCATTTTTTATCATTGTGTCCATTCATTACTATTAGGTTGTCGTTTTTAATCATGCCTGCTGATTGTATAATTCTGTAAATTATCTACGGTAAGTTTTCATATTTATGTCAATGGTTCCCCATGGCTCTGAAATTTGGATCCTGGCCTTTCCATGGGAAACAAATACTTAAGCTTCAAGCTAGATTTTAAACAAGCAAATTTTTTCTTTAAAAAATTTACTTGTCTTATATTGTTAGTTAAGACTGAACTTTGAAGAAACAGGGATTTCTATAACGAAGCTCGAGACACCGGCCACCAGGCCTTAGTGCGTTAATGTAAGATTGAATCGAGTTTTGCATGGAAATTTTTGGTGGACTTGAATTAAACGCTGTAAACAACTGATGACCTAAAATAAACTAGATGTATTTGCATTTATTCTGACTCCATCTGAAGGTATAGTAAAACACAGACGAAGATATGTCGTTGTCGTTGTTGTTTTATTTCTTTGGTTTCTTACAAAGAATTTAATATTTGGTGTTTCCATGTTAGTCGGGCGGCTCGAACCAGCTGTACTGTAAAAATTTTTTTTAGAAATAACTCAGAACCTTAACCCGACAATGCAGCTTTGAAATGACTTCAGAGCGGGAGGGATAGTCAAAAAAGACCGAAGTTACAAGATGAAATATTTTTAATCTTGTATTTTAACAAGTTGAGTTTATTCACATATTCTGTTAGTCCACGTACGTTCATTATTAAAATGCAAATTCAAATAGTTATTACGAAACCCGAGAAACCTCTAGTGTAAAAGCAAACGCGGTAAACGGTTTAATCTTGACCAAGTTTATTATGAATTGTTGCAGATAGCGGTGTTTATAGAAAATACTCCTCCAGCTGTAGAAATTTGATTTTTCGTCAATGTCATAACAGATAGTTCAAGAAAAAGGCCCTTATTTGGTAAAGCGTAAACAGGAACATATTTAAGCTGCTCAGATCTGCTTGTTAGTGTCGTATCCCATCCAGTGGATGTATCATGTGAATCAGAGAAAGGAATTACAAACATATTTACATTAACTTAAGGGATAACCACATGAAGGATTTGAAATACATGTCGGAGATCATATTCGGCCAAGAGCTTATGAAAAGGTTATCAAGATCGTAAGCATAAAAAAATCATCCTATTTTATCTATTTTTAAAATTGCCAAATCAGAGCAGTTCATTGTAGAGCTGGCGAGAGTAGTACGTAAATTTACTGACTGACTGATGGGTGGTATCGATCTTCTGTGGACCTGTATCTGATTTTGAAAATGAATGTAGCTTTTCAATGTGAAATTTGCTCTTAATGTTCACGCTGACACAAATTTTTAGGACCACGATTACTTTATTTTATTTCTACAAGATTTGTAGACTGCTTGGCTGCTACAAAAGAAAGTCGCGGGCTCAGGCGTTCCTTCCTCTCATGTCTTTCACCTTCATATTCTGGTTTTTCCTTTTGCTTTCACAATATCTGATGCTACGGTATAATCTAACCGACAGGAAAACACTGCAATCCCACACACTCAGCTACTTTATTAAACAGCGAATAATGTTCTTAGCAAGGAGCGACTTCTAAAAGCAATACAATACTTATAGTTAAGAAACTTAATTAACCCCACCGCAGTCTATATCCTAGCTCACTACTGACACAATCTCGCTACTCTCTCCGAAGTTCTTTGGAAAGAGCAATATTCTGCAGTAGCTCTCTCTCAATAAGGCTTTCTAAACAGTCATCGCTCTGACAACAACAACTACTTACTACTACATAAGTGAGTCTTTATATATATATACATATATGTATGTATGTATGTATGTATGTATGTATATATATTCACAAAGTGTTCTGGAACATTCCAGAAGCTTACATAAGAATTATGTTAGTAGTATTACATAATAAATGCGTGACTTAATGAAATGTTCTGGTCAGTTTTATGGTGTGCAAGTCGGCATGACTCAGCAGTCTAGAGATTTCTAGAAGCTTATATTTACAATAATTACTCATAACACTGGAACATCGACATGATTATGACCCGATAGGGGTAATGTTTTGAAATCTGAAAAATCAATGGGGTCTTTTTATTACGTTTAGTAAGCTTTCAAAAGCGAGGTAAAACGAGGGTTACCTCCAAGCAATTAAGGTAATGGGTTCCTTCTAAAATTAAAATTGAAGAATCCACTGTATTTGTATTACACAGCATGGGATAATAAGATGCATTCGAGGACACTGTAGCTGTTTTGAAATAAACTGCACTCGAAATCATCAACACAATCAGATCAGAAGTCAAAACAAAATAAACAACGCGCATATCAATTCCGCAATGATAAAAGATTTTCTTTTCCTATGACACGCTTAAGAACATTTGAAATATAAAGAATTCGACACGTTGGCAGGTGAAGATAAGTTTGAATTGAAAATTCTAAATTCATCAGCGAGAAAAGTGAAACTTTCAAGATTAATATCTTTTGGACAAATATTAAGCGCTTAGCGCTTTTTAATTTGATAGAGGTTGAGATAATGTTGAAAGTTCGGCGGTTACAGACAGCTTCTGGTGACGGAAAAATTTGAAATGATTTAGTTTCATTAACGGCATTAAACACTTTCGATAGAGCGGAAAAAAAAGAATCCGCCAATATATAATATTATGGGCGGCACTTAAAAGGATAAGATCAAAAAGGAACCAAAAAAAGTTAGCGAGAAACAATATTTCCTATGCTGGTGTTTATCAACAAACAACACAGATTTGTCTCACAAAACGATTTCGTCTATGCGTTCACTGTGATTTTACAGAGAAACTCAGGTATGAAAAGTTATTTTGTTAAGGGTTTACTACCCAATTTTATGAACTAATTTTAAGCGTTGACCGTGAAAATACCCTGCCTGGCAAGATCACGTTATGTCTGATTTACCGGCTATTAAGTTGAAATTGTTCAGTTTTGGAGTACTAGTACTGAGGAACTTAATTGCTCTCATCTCAGCTGAAGGTTTCGATATTAAAAGCCACGATTTACCCTTGCAAAAAGTTTATTTTCACACATGTAACAATTGGGAACATGAAAACTAAAGTATCTGACTCCCGTGGATAATTCGTATGCTTCTATTTTGTTACACCTTGTTGTAACATCATTAAATTACAGGAAAGGACTTCAAGAAAACAAGCGAAACTCAAAAGCTAAATTTCAAAGGAAAAAACATCGAAATGTCCTTCTCCGAGATCTTTGTAAGGATATATTACATGAATGTGAGGATAAAAGAGGCAATTTTTTGTTGTCTTTCCTTTTTAAGTGTTTTTACTTTGTTTACCAAATTTCCGCTGAGCAATATTTTAGAGTTACCCAGTGGGTTTTCAATAACTTCAGCCAAGATTAACGCAATTCCATATTTTTTTAATCATAGCATAAGCTATTTAATTTTTCACATTCAATGTTTTTACACCTGATCGGGTTTCGGAGAAAATTTAAGTTATAAGTTTCTTATCGTGGGGAGATTTGACATCACTTCGCCTTTTCAGCTCTCACCATGTTTCAGAATATCAAACAATTTCTATAATATCTCTGCGATTAAAATTTGCCAGAGGTTCTTAATTTAAAGCCCGGTAAAAATTCGTTTATCAACATAATTTGCCTCTCGCAAAATTATAAATTATGATTAAGGCGAACTAATTGATCTCCTTTTTGGGTAAACTCTTTCGAAATTTTGTAAAATTTGTCTTTCGGAAATCGTTTATTCTCTACCTTAGGGGAAAATATTTCAAAAGTTTTCCAAAACAAACATGTTTGAAATTAAGTTTGGACCACCGTTAAAAGTGTTTGAAGTCGCGCTTCCAACAGAACAATTAATGTTGTTTGCGAATGGCGGCCTCGTTTTTGCCAAATTTATCTTGATCAATTTAACATATATCAAATGGCAAAATACTCAAGATTTTTACGGAATTGGAGACGGAATTCAAATTTAGTATTGGAAACAATGAAGAAAAGAACGCCTGAAGTAAAAAAAAGGTGTTGGAGATAAATTACATCTCTTCACTTCAAAACTCGCACTATAAAGTTCTGATTTAAGACAAGCCTGTGGTAAGATTTTAAAGTTATGTTATTTTAATAAGGCTGAGAGCTTAAGGATGATTTGCATTAACTACATCCAATTTTACAATTTTTTTAAAAAAATTTTTAAACTTGCATCAGGAAATTAACAAATCGACAGTGATTTAGCGTGGTCTGTACTCTTTCAGCAGATACAGCGATTCTCACAGTGCGTGACCATTGCGTGACACGTTAACGCGAGCAGCGTTATCCGTACTCTTTTCAACAACGGCAAATTGACCGATCAGATTGCGATATTACTGCCAACTGTAGCTCTTTACATAAAAAAAAAACAGATAGGAAAAACGACAAATATTTGATAGGAAATCAACTGAATAAGTATCGACGTAGTCGCTTACGGGTCCTGTGGCTCGTATTGGTTACCCTGTACATTTCATTGACTTGCGTTAACGCATAGTCAAATTGAATAATTTAGATGTAGCATAAAGACAGTTTGGCGACATCGTATCTGCAGATGTCCTTTTGAGGCAAATTGCACGAAAATCGATTTAAGACAAAACATTTTAGGAAGTACTATCTACCTCTCCAGCTTTTAAATGCCACGCGCACGTATCTGAATCCGAGGTGACGAGTGGTTTTGAGAGAAGACACCGGCTTTAATCCTACCTAGCTGATAAAAATATTGAAGCAGACTACAAAACCACACGGTAGGTTGATTGGTTCGTAATGTATATAGCAGCAGTACACAAAACTACCAATCCTTTTCCGAAAAGTAAAAAAAACGCAAAATGACAAATATATTTTATTTATTTTTTGGTAAAATGAAATCAGTGAGTTAGAACTTTTAAGCTAAAAGTAGTAATGGCGCCTTTTCACAAATTCTTAAGGGCCCTATAAGTAAAAGGTTTGCTCCTCACACATTTGCACTTGCTAATGCACCATTTAGTTTTATATATATCTTAGGTTCCGTGATGTATCAATTGATGAATCGTCTATTATGCTATCAAGTAGGGGGAAAAACTGTTTGGAAAACAAATACTATAAATTTTGCTGCATTTTATCGATCCAAAAAGCCCTTAGGGAAGAGATGTTGTAAAAAAGTATAGAATGTCTCTGAAGTAAAGTTTACCAGTTACAATCTCTAACACTGCACGTTTTGCACTGAGAACGCAGTTCATTTGTCCAACTGGTAAGATAATGACTGTCTTTACAATTATTACAATGTTATACTTTAAGAAACATGTTACTATCGTAGTGTCATTTGCTTAAATTGTGAGTTTTAAGCAGGATATGGAAGAGGGGGGAAGAGGGGAGGGTAATTGAGTTTTATCCAAATGATCGTGCGATATTACGAACCGATGAATAATTTTCTACCAAACCAGTTTCTTAAACCACGCGTGTTCTGAAAGCTCACATTGATATCATTAATAACTCGAAACGCTCACAGTACAACCACAATGTGACGTCTGCAGTGATTTTCCTTTCCATAATACGAAATTCATTCATATTCATTTTTCTAACCAGGTTGCCAACCAGTTGCTTAAAACGCAGCACAGAGTTCTGATCTACTGGAACTCAATACCCTAAAAGAACGCAATAATCTTTGCAACACTGGAGTCTGAAGCAACTGTTAAGATTTTTTCCTTGATTCTAGCGGCCGCCATATTTTCTGTTTTCATGGTGATCGCAGTAGCGGCGCATCTGTTATGTTTTGAAAGAAGAACACTCAAAGTAAGGTCTGTTTTATTATCAGAGGGGAGGAAGAGAGCAGCGAACTTCGAATATTCTTGTTCAGTTTGACGCTTCGAGAGACACAGAGAAACTTGGGACGTTAAAGAGTGATTTGTACACAACAACAACAACAGTAACAGCAGGAAGAGCGACAATACAACAACCATTTGGTAAACAAAAACCGCCTCTCTAATAAATAGCAAGTGCCATTTTGTAGCTAACAATCTTAGACAACATGAATAATTAACCTGATACTGAGGTGTTTAGTAGGCAACCAAGAGTATTATCAACTTAAGTTTGGCTTGGTATTGCTGGGGTCTGGAATCCTAGAATGAATTGCTGAGTTCACCAAGGAATCGATAAACGTCTTTGTTGTGACGAGGACGATAAGTCAGCCTTCTGTTGATAATAACTGAGTTGTGTGGGATTAATTCTTCATTTTCATCTATGATACATGTTGCTTTTTTGTCCATGACCTTAAATGGACGAGTGAACCTTGGATGTTCTTAAAAAAAATAATGCTAACCAAGTTTTTAGTGCTAGTGAGTGATCGGATCATTTAAAGAATATTACACGTGTGACCCTGTGCTGAGGGTATGAACGCTGTAAAAATTTCACCTCCATCATTCATTAAAAAAATTTACTGCCTCCGCAAAAATGCCAAATATTACATCCAAGAGGAAATAATAGCCAAAACAAATGAAGTTGAGGTAAATATTAACTGTTAGTGAGAAATAAAAGTTGCTTTGAGAAAATTGCATTGTAAAATAAGATATATGACGACGAAGTAAAGATTACTTAGAACTTTAATCAGATGTGAAACGCTTTATTTGAAATAGTATGTTTGAATATTTATAAATTCAAAATAATTACATGGAGATCGGCATTTCTGCTCTCTACGGGAAGCTTTCTTTGCCTAACCCTTTCACTGTCATGGTCTCAATATACGAGTTCTCTTTGCTGTACAGTTTCTCACACTTATCCTTGTCTAGTCAGTTTTGAGAATTCGCATGCTGTAAAAACAAAAAAATTTGAACCTCGAATCGCTGTTAACGATGGTTATTTCGACGCGTGATAAAGTATTGAATGAACTGTATGTATAAATTAATTAGATATTGCTCCTCCTGGGAATGAAAGGGTTCCACTTCTAAGCACAATTATATTTAACGTATTCTAGTTAGTTCTCAAGATGGAAATTCTCTTCTAATACAAAATATCTTATTCATTTTCTCTTCACCCTTAACTAAGTTATAAGTTAAACATTTCTTTTACAAAGGAGGACCTGTAGTTCTTTTCACTAACATCAATTCTTGCGCTGCGTATGAATACCCATCTGCTTTAAAATCTGACTACAAGGGTAAACATCAATACCTTGAATGTCACACTAAGGTGTAGTCGGCAATGTTTTTAAGTCTGCTGTGTCTTTTTAAAACAGCCTTCACAGTCGGCTTTCTTTCTTCAAAGCACAGGAGGTGAAAAGCCATTGCTAAAATCATAGCTACAGAGAATAATCCGAAGGCCAGCACGAATGATAAAATCTCAATAGACGTTCCGGGATCCAGTCTTCCTCCACGTGTAAACGGAGATCAGTAAATGATCCTGGTTAATGGGTTCTTCTAGAAGATTCAAATTGATTTGAAATCTATGAACACAAACGAAATTAATATCCATAATAAAGATAGCGAAAATTATATCAAGGTCTTACCATTCCTTTTGTTATAAGTCATGAGCATTTTTCGATAACAAACTGATTGTTTGAAATAGCATGTGTGACAGAGGTTGTTGCTGTAACGGGTGATAACATCTGCTTAGCTACACTAAAATTATCTCAAACTAATACGTTCGTCTAACAACGAAAAGGAGAGATAAGAAGGCTACATACATTGGCAACTATTCCAGATAGAGCTTTACAAAGTCGAACATTTAAAAGTTTATACTTGCCCTGACCGAAATCTGAAAATTCTGGCTCTCGATATCATTGACACCATGTTCGTTTTTCTCATGGGCATGAGATAAAATAAAAGCGGCTAGTTACTGCAGGTTACCATCATTTACCTGAGACCCAAATGGTATCTGTCTGCTGTCAATAATAAGTTATGATAAAGTTTATATCAAATTCTTTAAGCGGTACTATTTGAAGAGAAAGCCTTGGTATAAGAGGAGGTGAACCTCAGTTTTCAGCGCGGCAGACAGTGCTCAAACGAAAGCAAATGTAAATATCAGCCAAAGATTCGTAAGGCGACGCGCATTGTGTGTTTTGTTCTTTTCTCATTAAAATTTTAGTTTGAAAGCAAAAATACTTTAAAATAACAAGACAGTTATTTAACCACTACGGGCAAATACGCTAAAAATGTTTGACAAGATACAAAGACTGAACCTCACTATTATATAATTTCGTGGATTTGCAAACGTCATTATGACATTGATAGAAATGCTCAATTTTATTTGTCATTGTAGCAATAGTTGGACTCTTATATTACGTTTGTTTCATTGAATAAATTTGGTATTTCAAGCCATTATGACTGTTGTCTATCTTCATTTCATTGAGGACCTGACATAAATCCGATTTCGACTCAAAAGTAAGCTTTATCTGCAATTCATTTCCTCCAAATATTACAGAAAGCAAAATTGAAACTAACCTTTGGTCGAGGCTGCGTCTTTTGGGATGCGGAAAACCAATGTTCGTGGGTCGATAAAAAAAATCCTGGTAGACTGAATTTATACCTTGAGGGCATATGGAATTGACGAGCGAAAAAAGCCGGCCATTAGCATCAGTATTCAGATCTGCGCAAAGCCCTTATTAGGAATGACTTTGACGAGGGTATTTGACAATCTAATATTGCCTTGTTAAACATGTCCTTCAATGACGTCATGAAAAGGATATTTCATCACAAGTGCCAAATGACAATGGATTTCTATCGTGTGACATGAAAAACTCGAAACTTTTCAATTCCTAACGCACTATCGATCAATATGATATATTTTGCCCATGATGTCCAAATGTAGTTTCGATTTTCTAATTTTTAAGCGATAGGCGGAATGTTTAAAACAGTCAACGTATTGTTTATAAGCCTCAAGGTTCGAAGATTCCAGTCGCCCTATCTAATAACGTAACTTTTTTTTTTGTGCATAATTCGATTTCCCTTGAATATTTTTTTCTGTAGGTTCTAGAAGAGATTCAAAGCCAGCTTTGTTAAGTGAAAATTTACCTCAGGCCGCTTGTTTTCAAATTACTTCAGAATGACTGTGAACAGAAGTTCGTAAATTCTCTGTTTCACTTGTTTATTGAATTTTTTTTAAATAAGCGCTTTTTCTAACATTCTATGCCTCTATATTACATTTTAAGAAGGAATATTATAGATGGATTATCCAGTAGCAGTAAACAAATTTTTTCCTCTCAAGTTAGAGTTTGTTGATATTAACCATCGTTTATTGTTCGACTTGAAATGTTTAATTCAACCCTTGAAAATGAATCACTCCGCAAAAGGCTTTAAAGGAAAAAAATTCTGGTTTCTGCGGTTTTCAAAATGTCAAAAATTTGAGAGTGAGACAATCACTTTTTACATCACTCATCGAAAGTGATTGTGAATTCGACACTCGGAATAACAAAATATTTAACTGTCTTGGATCTATTTTGCCGCCAGCTTTCTTCGTGGTGTTACGTTAAGCATTAATAATGCAAGTAAACTCCTTTTGAATTGTCGTATAATCTTATCAGCTCAGTAAATACGTGATGCTTAAAATTTAGGCTGACAGAGCTGTACTCATTAGCTTTTTTCAAGTGTCGCCAATTCGAGATCTCCATATTCTATTCATCGTTACGTATTCCAGATGTTTTTTAAAAGGTGTAAATGAAGAGAGCAAATATTTGAGACAAAAGGCGATGCACTCTGTCGTGTTACGCTCATTCAAAATTATCGTCCAAAAATGAATCGAAAACTGTTTCCAATACTGCAGTGAAAGCTTGCCGCATGTTTAAATTAACTCTTCTTTGATGAGGAGAAATATTGCGCGTTCAGACGCTCAACATAGCACGATTAACTTCAATTCTTACACAAACATGTTTGAATTTTTTCATCGTCTTTGGAAGAAACGTCGTGCAATTAAAAAAGATCGACCAACAAAAGGAAATTCACAAATGAAACATAGATTACCTGTATTTTTCTTTTTCAGCTTAAGATTCTGAGTCAGTTCTCTAGCTTCAACATTAATTTATGTCCACCACGAAGTTTTCAGATACAAGGAAAACATATCTTTAAATTTCTCTTGTGTTGACGCTGTTTATTAGTGACACGTAAAGGAAAAAAACACTAAAGAGGATGAATATTCCAAACACGGTAATCTGCTTACAAATTTGTTTCCTGATTGCAACTACCCTTGAATCAAAAATGATGTAAGATGATAGCGATTCGCGGATTGAACGAACCTTTTCACGCAGACGAAGTAATTTCCAACACTTTTTAATTTACTGTGAGCTGGTAGCATTACTAAATCTTCACCCAGTACACGGTACGCCAAGCTTAAACTCATAAGTGTAAAAATAATGAGAAAAATTAACGATTCACCTGTGACTAGGTCGCAAGCGGAAGAAATCGAAGATTCGCCGAAATGTTTCAACAAGGAGAACCCATTGTGCAAGTCGTCGTTAAGTTTACATAATTTACCTTTCGCAATCCATGTAAACGTTGGAATATTTTATTTGCACTTGTTGACCAATCAGATATAAGGGTCTTTGTTCCTTGTTGTTTCTTATTGAATAATCTCTCACTTGGGGTCCTGCGTATTAAAATTAATTTCCAAGCTACTGATAAAACATATACCTGCCCAAGGGCTATTTTAGCGGTGAACTTTATAACAGAGTTTAATGACATTGTTCGAGTAATGACAGACAATGTCTTGTTCTATTAATTTCTATTTTTATTCCTTCCAAGTAATTGTGGTAAATAACTAAGTTTTATATTCAAACTGTGTAAAACAGTTTCGATCGACGACTTAACATTTGATAAATATCCTAACTTATTCAGTATAAAAACGTTTTATACAGCACTTTGCCGGCAATTCTCTCGAATGTTATTTTAAAATGGAATCTGTTATAAATTTTTTAGGTCCATTTTATCATACAAATATTTCTCACGTGAGAAATTTAAAATCTTTAGATTCTCGCGATAAACTTTTAACTAGAGGCCGACTATATCTCCTAGTGAAATGTCGGGTAAAGTCATTGTTGACATCAAATCATCCCAATAGCGTGCGTGTAATTTCATAGTCAATAAACAGTATTTCGCACTGCTGGTGAGTTTTGTCATCTAAGATTTTAGTCTGATCCGCGAACTTTCCTTCCACGACCTGAATTGCTAAATATTGCCGAAGAGGCGGAATTTAAAACCTTTTAAATAACAGTTTCTTGGAGCCAACTCTCAACGTATCATTGTGTAAAAATATCTGCTTTCACTACACCATGAAAATCTTTGGAAATTTATAACTTGCCACTGACGCATCATATTTCCCATCCATTTCTGCCATCTGCTTTGCATCATGGCCATTTTTTTCCAATCGACAAGTTCATAAAAAATCCAAATACGTAATAAAAAAATTCAAATTTCTAAAATAGCCCAATGAACCTATAGTTGGCGTATTTTTAAAGGGAATAAGTCACGCGTATGCGGTGAAAGGCGTAAACAAAGATTTTAACCTAAATTTAACATTCAAATTGAAAAGTCTGCCCCAGGCCCTTTGTGATGTCTTCAAACGTTGGGAGGACTGGAAATTAATACACGATAATCATTTTCAGAACAGCTCCTGCTGATCACAGTTTTCGTCTGAAAGACTTCCGGTACGCTCGACCCCACCAACAAACCACAACCTTTTAACTCTCGTACTTTATTAATTAATCCGTCTCTTGAAGCCTTGTGTTTAACGCTTTTCTTTAACTGACTGATGCGGATCTTCTGATAGCGCGCCATTTTATAAAAAATCCCCAATGATAAGAGAACCACGGTCAGAATTAACACACTTGGAGCGACTACGCTGGCCACTTGCATTGCAGGCGTTGATTCCGTACATTTGTCCGTACATTTGTCCGTACATTTGTCCGTACATTTGTCGGAGACAGGCCCAGCGACTTCTTTGTCGTCGCTAGACGCATGCTCCCTGGTGTCCATGTTGCCCCTGTTTTGAAGAGTTTTTGTTATTTCTGGGAGTATTAGAGAAACAAAGAAAATTTCAAAATGTACTCTGAACTAACATGATAAGAATCGTATGGTTGACAGTAAGGAGAATTACAAAGTTGATCGAGGAGTTAAAAGGTCAAAACTGTGGCGTAGCCAGCTTTACGACTTGTTGTAGGCCTGTACTTAAAGAAAGTTAAATTTTTTGTTTCAAATTTGCAAGAGTCATGTTTTGAAAATCAAGTGGGCGAAAAGAAATTGTGGGTTATGTGTAACGCACACATAACTGAATTACGTTGTCTTACGTGACCGTGACGCTTATAGCATGATCCAATTTTAGAAGTGGGACTTCTTTTCTATAATTTTAATTTAACCGCTCGAAATATGAAATCTTTTGCTGCAGCTTTTGCTAGCTGGATTCTCTGTTTGATAGTTTCCCGCCTTTCACGTCACGTCACGTACGTGACTCCGAATTTTCTACGTCAGGAGCCCATTACCCGGAGCGTCCATACCAATTGTACCCTTGACTCAACCCCGTCCCGTATCTTTTTAGTTTTAGCACTGAGTTATGTGTGGGGGGTTCTTTAATTTCCTGCGAAAACATGCAGACGTTCGCATAATTGAAATACTTTCGTGAGCCCTGCATTTGACATAAACAATAGAGGACCACAGCTCTCTTACAATTGGCTATTATGTAAACACCCGCGAAAAACCCCCGTAGGAGGTGCTTCTAAAAATAAAAAGATACGGGACAGGGTTGACTCAGAGGGTATGGAAGATGGAAGTTCCGGGTAATGGGCTCCTGTCTACTTATAACAGCGACTGTTTGGACGTTTTTCTTATCGCGGATATATTGTTAATTGCGTGCTATTTCATGAACATTCGCTCGATGTAAGGAGTTCTGAAGTAACTTGAAGGGAAAAGACGTGAAACTCAAACATCAGGAGTTTTATTCCTTAAAGCTTCAAGATGAGCTTATAAGTATTGTTAACGCTTACCTCTTAACATGTTTGGCATGTTACACAGATCCTTATCACAGCACATCATTAACGATGAGTTCAAACACGAGAGACTGGGATCTAGTGTCTCAATACAGCCGTACGAAACACTAGTAGAAAAGTTCCCATTAGCCTTCACTAGTTTGCTGAAACACTGCTTACTTGATTTACACAAAGCTTGCGGGCACGACGGGGAGTTACAGAAGCATGAAACGTCAGCTGACGATAAAAGGGAAATAAAAAAGGTTAAGAGGTGAAGAAAACGGCTCGAAATAAGCTCATTAAACCGTGTGAAAATTAGAATTTAGGGATGAATAATTGTGGAGCACGCAGAAAATTTTAAAACTTTAGGATTAAAGCCATCAGTTGATTATTCGAGCCTTTTTCAAGAAAAAATTTAATTGCTAAGTAATTTCATTGTCTATGAAGGGTTAAAAAACCAAAACAATACAAAATAAAATTCTAAAAATACGGATACGAATTAAAGCTACCGAGTTGGCCACATGTGGTGATGTAGAAACAGGAATGTCCAAATGGATATCTGTAATCAAATTGATTCTTAGTAGTATGATAGCTGTATTGAAAAAACTACACATGTTAATATCTTTTCAAACAATACAAGGATGCACTGCACTGTGAACAATAAGAATTAAATTATAAGATATCTCAAAATGTTTATCGGAGAACTTAAAATATTTTGACATAAGGCTTCAGAAAATTTTGACTTAAACAAAATGTTTTAAATTCAATTATTTTTGTTATAATCCGATAAAAATAGTTTGCCGGAGCATGGAACTTTCCTGGTAAAAAAAATGATAATTCTTGTTTAGTGTATAGTATCAAGAAAAGGTTGACCAGCTGTTCAAGTTTCGATAGCTAGTTACGGCTCTTTTTTGAAAAATTTTTCTCACCAACAAACAAAATAAAATTTAAGGGGCGCTTGCAATTGATTGCCTATTCAATAACTTCGCTAGTCCACAAGTACTCTTTGATTCTAAAACAGCGTCGATCAGTCTCGATTTATTATCAAGGGTATTTTAGGCCGGAAGTAAGACTCACGTGAGGGTAGACCGCTCCAAATAAATAAAAAAAATTAACAATAACACCCGCGTGTTCAAGTAGGTTACAATATAAATAACACTGACATGTAGCCTTAAGCTAGGCACTATTGAGGAAGAAGCTAGGTGATTCACTGAGTTGACAACTCAACAACTCCTCAACAACTTCGTTTGGCACGACCCGTTTGAGTATTTCTGAAATATTCATACGCATTAGATGAAAAAATAAAATGTACACATGTTAACAATTTTATTTTTAGTTTGATTCTGAGACGGTGTCCCCGTTTTATAAACTGCCATCTGTTTGGCTAATACTGAACGAAGACAATTACGGGAAAACGTTAAAGGAAAAAGTTGAAGCTTATTTATTTGACTTTCTAGCCGGAACTCAAAGCCAATCGAAAGTTGTCTCACTTATCTTCCAAAGGTCCGGGGTATTGCTATTTTAAACTTCGCTTTTTTAGCAAAGGAAATAAAATGTAAATTCTCAGCAAACATACAGGGTAGAAAATATTGAATTAAAAATTCGTCGGAGAAGTCAGAGTTATTAACCCCAAGAGTGTCGTGGCTATTTAAACAGGCTTATATTTATGAAAAAAGGTGAAGGTTTAGTTCTGTTTCACGATCTTGTTTGAATTTTTAAAATTTTGAGCAGTATAATAAGCGTCAGTGGCGGTCATTATGAAATTTCTTCTAACGTGTAGCTGGTAAAAGAACATGTACCGTTGATTGTCTACTAACCTGTCACAATGGGGAACATGGTTACAAACAGTGTTACCATCAAGATCAGGATTCTATTCATCATTTCCTTCGCCCGCATTCTTCAACTTCAACAACAATACGACCGCAAACAATAGTTTCTATTTTACGTTGCGCGGAGAAGACTTTAGAACGTGTGACACTCGATCAATGTTTCGAATTACTCTGTAGAAGAGACTTCGATCGAGAAATGTGTCGAAGTAGGTTACTGATTGGCCAAGAAAAACTTTGTCACTTTCGATTCTGTTCAAGGGAAAGAGCTTCAAGAAGGAAGCTTTAACTCTCAGGAAATACTTTCGGATTTAGTCAGAGTCCATTCAGAGGCAGAAACCGCACAACGCAAAGTCTGACCACGAAACTCGAGCTGTTTCCACTTTCCGTTTATGGCACATATGAGATAGTTTGTTTGGGCAAACCGGGGAACACATGATAATTTAAGCCGAACTTCGTCAGAGTTTTTAAGCTGGCGACACGCGTGTTTTGTTAGCCAGTCCTTCCGGCGCCTTATGCAAAGAGACGTTTAATGGTGGATTATTAATTTTCCTTTGTGAAACAAAAGAGGTACATATTAAAACATATTCCTCAGAAAGTAAGAAATGCTTATGAAATGTCAAGCGGCGACGAACGAAGGTAGTTGATATTGACATTACCACCAAAAGCCAATTATTAAATGTTGGGGTCATTTTATCGAGCAAGCCAATATTATTGCTCTGCGAAGGTTTTGGCAAAAAAAAAATCGTCGACAGGTATTTTCGTAGATCACAAAACAATATGAAACCATCACGGGCTATAGATTTTACTCAGCGACTTGTTTGGACAGTCGGAGACAGCCATGTCAATGAAATCTCCCCTTTCTAATAATTTTCACCTTCATTAGGGAGAGATAATTCAGATATGATATTTTCAAAGGACTGTACATGTATTTTATGCTGATAAAGAATCTTATGAAAACGCATTTCGAACTTGCATGGTAAACTAGTAAGATGTCACCTATTCGACGAGACTCGTTTATTCCCTTATCTCTCACAAAGAAAGCCGCGGTCGCCTGCATTCTGCCTCAATTGACATCAGCGTGCGATTTAGGCGGGAAAAGTGTCTGTTTGGCGCCAATTACGGTGACAGTGCTCGCGGCTACTGGAAACAAAAACCACTAAGATTAGCCGTAAGAGTCTTTGAGAATGCCAGCTTGAACCTCGGTTACCGAGATATTCAGATGATAGATGTTTTTCATAAAAACACCGAGAAAACCTAATTGGTCATTATAAAAACCTCGTGGCTATTTGTTTGGTTATTTGAATGACTCACATCCGATTACAGTTTAATTATGGCTACACTCATGCGTCGACTTCCACAATGTTGAACCTGTTGTGGGAAAATGCGTTAAAAGAGTAGTATATGTTTCGTATGTATTGCAGGAACCCCATTCACGTAGTGAAAAATAATTTCTTCGCAGAATATACCAGGTTTTGAGGAATAATCGTTGAACACTTAGAAGAAAATTATATAGAGCTCTTTATTCATACATATATGTTTTTTAGAGTACTTAAAATCAGGTTTACCTTGCATAAGCAAATAATATCTTAATAGTGTCGCTCTTGCGTCTGTGTAGTATTTAAAAAATATATGACAGTCTCTTTCTATGCATTCATAGTATTCGAGGTATCTTTCGATGCATGACAAAATCGTGACGGTAAAAATTCTAATGAAATACAATGAAATTAAAACAAATCTTTCGAAAGTCGTATAATCGTTGAATTCGCCCAGTTTTCTTCCGCTGCAATGAAGTGATGCAAATGATTAATGAATTCTGCTTTATCGAAATCGGCTGCGGCAAAGTTCTTTTAGCTAAGTGGTAGTCTTAATACGTGCTCTTAATTTTGCGAATGTGTTCTTTAAAGTACAAATAAAGAGTTTTGTTTTACAAAAGTTACGAGCCCGAAAAAAAAGGGTGGCAAATCGACCTGTCATGTAAGCTATATCAAATTAAAACTAACCATACGATGGATCGAGCAATTCTTTTCACGCTCGCCGACATTTATTGACTTCTGATTTTATCCGCAATTGAAAAAGAAAATTTCGTGGAAACTGTCAGCCTGATTCAAAATGACGCCACCCCCACGCCGCTCATCAACCCTGTGAAAGTGCGTTGCCTTTAGTTAGGAAAAGATTGGGGCAGAGGGCAAAAAAAATTTTAATTCAAAGTGAATGGAATAATTTGAGGAGAGTTTTGATTATGTCTTTCTAAAGCTTTCAGCTTGCTTTAAGCTGGTTTCATTTTCGCCATCGTTTCAAGACATGACGTCTCTATCGCTGAGACAAAGCGGTGAGCTCGAGCACAATTAAAAAAAAAAAAAAGGAAAATGTATCAGCAATTTTTTTGGATTTAAAAATAAGAGAGAAACGAAACATTGTTAGGGAGATGAGTTTTTAGAACTATCACATGCATGCACCAGCGACTGTCACGCGTCACGATGCATGTCCACAAAAACACACCGGTCAAAAATAGAGCATACGCAAGGGATCAAATTTGTCAATGCGTTAAAAAATCTTACTATGCATCTTCATGTAAATTTGTAAAAGGAAGTAAAGCGACATCTACGAAGTTATGAAATCGAGAATTTTTCTGAATGTAGAGAAACCCAACGTAAGTTGTCGTACTGTTTCGACTTTTAGGTGCTAAGCACAAGATAAAACAAACTCCGTTTCGCCATGATGCATATTGAGTGAAATTCTCATTTCCGTTCTTATTTTTCTAAGGAATCGTTATCTTGATCGCTAATGCTCCAGCGGATGAGAACAAGAATGGAAAAAGGCCGAGTGCTGTGCGCACCATTTTTCGCTCGTCCCATATCTCAGACGTCTCCTTTGCTTGAGAAACTTCCAGAATAACTCAGTCTATGATCGAAGAGAAGCAAAAGCCGATAACATGCAAACAACCTAAGAGTCCCGAGAAATGGCGATCTGATAACCTCTAAATTTGAATTTGAAATAAAGTATCGCTTTTCACCACCTAAACTCGACAACAGCTTTTACCGCATTAAATAACTAACATCTAGTTTTACTGAGAGGACTGCCGGTATAAATGGTGTGTATAATTCATTCTCTTTTCCATGGTAAATAGTAATTTCTGCAATGTAGATTTTATCTATCTCAATGCAATCTAATGGCAATATCTGGATATAAAAAAAAGCTAAATATGATTGTAGCTGCTTTATTAGACTTTTGCATCACTTTTTGGCGACTCATTCATCGTGGTAACTAGCCGATGTTTGTTGTTACAAGAACAAACAAAGGTCTTGTGACAGAATCGTTGAAAGCCTATGGATGAAAGATATTTTTCGTCTTATGGCGAGCGTGGGACAAAGAAAAAATTCTGAATCCCCATGAGGAATCGAACCTCAGACCTTCGGATTCCGTGGCAGAACATCAGAGCACGGAATCCAAAGGTCTGAGGTTCGATCTCTCATGGGGACTCAGAATTTTTTTCTTTTTCCCATGCTCGTGACAAGACGAAAAATATCTTTAATTATTTCTTTAGCGTGCTCAAAACTTACTATCTGGCTTTGCCTATGGATATTGGTCTAAGTCACCTCGAGCGGAAAGGTGTTCACATCATCACATCGTAAGTAGTTTCATAAAGACTCGATGTCTTTATTGTTTAATGCTACACGCATATGTTTAAAGCAGCATTTTTTGAGGCTACTTAACAACTTTGTTGTTGCCGAGTGTCTATACAACAAAAAAAACATCGAGTTGGCCAAGTTTTGGGGTAGATCTTAGACTAGGTAAGACTATTTTCAAACAAAATTACTATACAGGTTATGGCGTCTTTTATGAGATGATGATGATGATGAGACTTACAGGTAATTAAATCAGATGTGGGAGTGAGTAATTAAGAGTTTAGGCCTTTTCCACAAATACCCAAAAAAATTCCCTGAGCAGGCCTAGGATCCACAGCATTCAGGATATGAATTGCCGAACGATAACGTATCTTTCCAAATATGCTCTCCAAACCGGATAAATTCTCAAAACGGAACTTTACTCTGGGCTAAGACACACCGTCCACACCGAGCCCAACCGAACAGGGGACTCTTCGAAAACGCTCACACCTTTGATCTTGGTAATTTTTGACTGGGTTCCAAGATCTTCCAACGAGCATGCCTAATAAGGAAGCAGTCAAGAGTTTCTGAGCCAGTTAGCATTGCAGTTGAAGGACAACTTTTCTCGCGTTTTCCGACTGAAAACGCTGTCTTGGAATTTATCTAGCGTAGAATGGTCAAGGTTTAAATCTTACTCAGCTATAACTTTTAACTGAACCCAGCGGTTGATTTTAAGGCCGATCAGGTCAGATCTACGATTTTTAACGCAGATGGCATCACGTATCACACATTCACGTATGCACCCATCGCATGGAACTGAAAGGGACAGCCTATAAAACTGAGCATCTATTGAACAGTTGACAAGTCACTAGTTATGCTACTAAAATTAAAAAATATATAAAGTGTTCCGGCGTTTCTCGTTTAGTTACATTTTTCAAAGAGGTTTGTTTACACTTCACTTTCCAATTGTATTTTGGATAATAATGCACACTGCTCTTTCTCCAGACGATCTAAATTACTGTTGTTCTCCTTTGCCCCATCTACCTTCAAAGGATAATGCAATTGTTTCAGACTAACGTAGTGACTAAGGAACGGTTTTTCTTCTCGGTTTATCTGTTTCTGATGAATGAGCATATTTGCATCGCCGGTAGTATGCCCCACGCATGCTCGCGTCCCTTCGATTTTTCCGAAAGCCAGTGCATGAAAGTTGTCAGCAAATCTGTTCAAAGCGGTATCCGACGCGGCTCTCATGTTAAGAACCCTGATGTGTCCCAATGTATGATGTGCCAAATCGTTCAGTTCTTTACCCTCTGTAGTTTCTTTTTCAGCTTCCGTGGCTTTTATAGTATCTTCTTTAAGATTTTTAATGCCAATAGCAACACGTACTGGTTCATGGCAGATTTTTTCATGCCAGGTTCCTTCCATGATTTCTGTTGTTGTCTGCACATATTTATTTTCTTTCAGAATGCATGAATTGCCCATCATATCTGATGTGATGGTGGAAGATCTTCGACTTGGCCTGAAAGTGTACTGAGATGTTATGGCCCTAAATACCGACACTTGATTCATATCTGGCCGCAAAAGGATAATGTACAGCTTAGGACCAAAAATCAGAGTCAAGATGGCAAGATTTGATGCTAAAATCGCAAAACAGTTGACTATAACATTATGCTCTCCCTCTGGAGTTCCGTAAAAGGTACTGACAAAAGTCAGCCACACGAAGTTGAAGACGAACATGGCGAAACTAATGAACTTCGCTTCGTTGTAATTCTGAGGTAGTTTCCTCGATTTGAAAGCCACAAATGTACAAAGTAAACTTAGAAAAATGATGAACGCATTCGAAATGATATGTCCAAAACTTGCAGTCGCCTCACACATCAGTAATCTTTCTGTCATGGTGAGCCGGCGAGCAGTGACCTGCGGTGGACTTGACAACAGCCATGCAGCACAGAGCAAAAGTTCGATGATAGTAGAAACCAGCGCAAGCATGATTTGGGTTCGGTTATATAGAAACAAACGTAAGTATTTCTTCACAAATTTCGATTGACTCCTTCGAGCTACTCGGCTATATCTAAAAACAACAGTCGTCCGGTTAATTCTTGCTAAGACCATTGACAAAGAAAATGCAGTGCTGGTTCCAAAGGAGATAACTTGTATCTTGCACATGGTATCTGTTGGTCTTCCGATATACAATAAAGGAATCAGGAATCCTAAAATTAAACCAAACAGCAGCAAAAAGCTGATTTCCCTATTTGCAGCCTTAACAATGGGCGTCTCCTTGTTGCGGAGAAAAATAAGTACGGTGATAAGACAAGCTGACTCACAAAAAAGTATGGTGACATTTAAAATCCAGGCCCATGTGCTGTCCCACCGAGGAAATCTCATTGGAGTGGAAACACATTTGGTTTTGCTTTCGTTGGGAGTTTTATTGTAGGGGCACTGGGTACACGAAGTAGCGCCAGGTGCGTTGCTTATGCTACCCCTGGGACAAGTCCTGCAAGTCCAGCAACATATGGGCTTCGCCACCACCTTGAAAGTTCCTGGAGGACATTCCAGGCTGCAGAGTCCGTAAGAAGGAGACGTGACACCCCCAGGCCAATGGATTGCGTCACGGTCTATTTTTAACAAACCTGTTTTGCCATCGTATTCACCAATTTTCAAAAATGTGGTGTTCAATTTACCATCCTCGTGATTTTTAAAGTTGATAATATCATAGCGTCCCATGTCATCGCCACTCTTGTCGAATGATACGGTTCGGTTTGTTACGCTGTTGAACGTGATGTTAAATATATTCGACAAAACTGATGAGGGTGTGACAAAGTCGATGCATGCATTCTTGCGTGCCATTTCTGAGCTCATTTGTGTCCCAAATTTTGATTGACAGATTTTTCGAACTGAGTAGACAATGGAAAGCACCGCATCCATGACGTAAGACACTCGTGAAAAAACAGCGTCTGTTTGAAGAAATTTATCTGCCAGCTTTTCTTTCCCGTTGCATGAAGCTCTTAGAGTAAAACGGTTTTCCTTTGATAATGACATGTTGTGTTTGGAAACATAGCACTGAAATAATTCCTCCCAGAACTGGATAAACCAGAAGTTCTGGGGATTGTTAAACGGGTTTAAGTTGTAAAAGTATTTCATGAAATCCGGCACAACTATCGGCTGGTTGATTATTCGTAACATGCCATCGACAATCTTCGCGTTATCTTCAGCAATTTTCGGCGAGTCTGCCCAAGAGTCGCTAGCTATCCAAAGCTTTTTAGTAACATTTTGCAGTGTGGCTTCGCGGAGGAAATCAACAGCTTCACCTTCGGAAGTAAAGAGTAGAATAATTTCGATATTTTTGTCCCGGCGAAGTTTGCTGACCAATTTTCTGATCGCACCCGTGGGAGGGTTGTACGGGATCAGAATATCAAGTGCCAAGCATATTCCGAGCTTTTTCGCTTCGGTTTTGAATGTGTCTGCCAATGGTCGGCCGTAGATATCATCTGAAGCAAACAATGCCACATAATTCCATCCGAAATTGGAAACGATCTTCGCAATTGCTTGTCCTTGAAGCGAATCGGGCGAAACCGTCCTTAAAAATGTTGGATAACGATTTTTGTTGCTCAATAATCGCGAAGTGGAAGCGTAGCCAATTTGGGGTATTCTAAAAATACTGAGAATATCATTAACCGCCGATGAGATGACACTATTTCCAGCTCCCAAAACTGCAATCAGATTTTGACGTGATGCGGCAGTCGGCAATTTTGTTGTGGAATTAGATTCCCTTTCACTCGAGACTTCTTTCCTTTCATTTACAAAATCCAGAGATTCCTTCAACGCATGGATTACCTTCCCACAAGTATCACGAATGTCATATCCCAAAGTTATTTGCTGGGGAAGCAGCTTATTTTCATTGACGTACTTCACAGCGTAAACCATTGCTTCTGTTAACACGACCCCTTCCTTGACTAGCGTAGTACACGAACTGTCCATCAAACTTGATCTATGGACAGGAAAGAGTCCGCCTATAATAATGTCCCCGGATTTAAGAATCTTCGCTTGATGCGAACTTGCGACTTTTAGAGGTTTTCTGAGCACCAGAGCCGTTATTATCAGTGAATATAAAGCGTGAAATACGAAGCTGGTTACGATATTCATGGTGGCCATGACGTCGTTTGAAGAAATGTATGGCAGGTTACAGAATGTCCATTCCAAGATGAGTTTACTAAAAGCTTTGACTGTAAATAATCGTAAATGCAATAATTCTACGTTTTCCACATGTCCCATCAGAATATATTTCTTCAATTATCGCCTTTTGGGGTATCCCTTCACCAAAGTCCCATTCTGATTATCACTCAAAGCTAGTTCAACTTTACTCTACCAATTCAGTTTTCTGAATACCTCACCGGGTACAGCATTAATCTGGGATCATCTTTACAGCATTGCTTTCAAAACTCCAGCAAATTGTGTTCGTGCTAAAATTAAAAAACCTTAATTGCATCAGCCCTGCTGAGACAGAACAGCAGGAAGGAACCACAATTTAACCAGTTCTGTAAGTATTCAGAATATCCAGCAATTCCCATATGACTTGTTAGAAGTCACCCTGAGGTGTTGTGTGAATTGAGAACATCTGCGTCACTCCCGGAAATTTACTGCAAAAGGCCAATTGTAAAATTTAATAAGCGTACAATGTAATTAGAACAGAGAAACAAGTAAACAAGAGCGATATCTCATTAAAGGTTCTGGGATTATGAATTATTATTGATGTTTACATCCAAGAAGAACTCTTCGACTTAATCATGGTCAAAACTTGTTCTCCTTCTAACGTTTAAGTCACGCAAAGGTTTTGAGCGGGCTGTCATTTCTTCTTGTTCTAGAACGAATGGTGGGTGACCACGGCTAAATGTTTTTTGAGCATACTACAATTGCCGGCTTGAAGATTGGTCCTGAAATATTTCGCCGACGAAAGATGTCAAGAAATAAGTAGATTACTTTTGTTTTGAAATTTTGACAACTTTTAATCTGAAGCTAAATTAAAGAAGGGCTGTAGCTCACTAAAGCAGGTGGCTTTCGTAGAAAAAAAACACAAACTTTTTGTTCACTCCATCAAGGTAGGCTTGAACGACCAACAATCGAGCACGTTAAGCCAGCCATTCTTTTCTAAAAGACAGAGAACAGCGTATATTTTCTCCACCAGTCAGAAAAATAGTAATTGTAAAGCGTTGCTTTACAAGAACCCACCGGGTAATGGTTTTATTCTCGTTTGGTCGAGAAAAAGACTTTTGGAACGATCGAGAAGAAAGAACAATGCGTTTTTTTTGATGTCCTGTTGATTGCTTCCGCAATTGGCTGCGTATCTCTAAAGTGGGCTTTTTTCATCCTCGGTCGGTGAAGCGGTGCCACCTTGATGACAAAGTATTGTTTTCCTTTTGAATTCAACTTATCTGCCAAAAGTAATAAGTGGGTATCTCCTAAAACTTAGGGCCAAAACTCCACTTCTTTTATGCTAAATTAAGTCTTGTTTTTCTGCACGTGCTTGTGATCGAGTTTGCTAATCATGCGTAAATACAATCTTGCCGATAGCTATAAAGATGGACCTTAACGTTTTACTCTTTTTTTTTTCATTTTTTCTGTGGTTCACCCCGATTGATAAGCCGGAGGAAGGAAATAAATTTGGCGAACATATTCAGAGAAAATTATCAGCAATGCATTTTAGCGGAGCCATACAAAACATAAGTGTATCACTGAAAGATGCTAATAAAGTCAGGAAGCGGGGAACGGGGAAAGGAGAACGGAGAAAAGGAAACCTAAAACGAGGAAAATGGAACGGGAGTCTAGGACCGAAAGCACAGCGGTAATCCGTATGAAGCCCCTCAAAATGACGGATGACGACACCGAAAAAGTGTCGAGCACACAAGTGCTCTTCGAACTCAGTCGTCCGAGAAATTATCATGAACGATGAATAATAATTTCATTGTTTTTATAGCTGAATTAGCAACCTCTCTTACGATTCGTCGCTGTTGCAGTTGTTTTTCCTGGCCTTGCAGTTTACGAACACCGATGAGAACCAGACGTCACCAGAACAAGTGAAAATAAGATATTAATTTATTTAAATATCGACAGTGTAGTATTTTAGCAAGGTCCAACGGCATAGCGTTGTAAGATAAAGTTTCAATAGGATTTAAAACAGTGAACGACATAAATGAGAAAATTGTAAACTTCGATTGCGGTTTAGGTACGACGTCTGTTAAAAAATAGACGAGGACTACTACCAAGCAATAGGGGCCAGTAACAGCTGCATTCAACGGGAACACTGTTTAGTTTGACTATCCGTTGAACCATACAGCCGCCGTTTTTTCTGCTTGCAAGATCGCGCACGATAAAGTACTTGCTCGACTTAGTCTCCTGGCAATCCATGATTCCCAGACAGCGCGAACCGTTCGGAGACTGGCTTGTTTCATTGCTTTTTTCGCAAGAGATCATTTCGAAAGCTATTGGCAGGATGAAAGCATGCTTTGAGAAACGTCCCTTGAACGCGTCTTTGGAATTCACATAACGTTGCTTGGCCGGGCACAGTCGTGTGTGGTCTGGATACAATCGCTTTGCCGGTTCTTCGAAGGAGTGCCCTTTTCCAGCAAGATCTAAAACCGGATAAAAGAAAGTTAAAGTCTAGAAATGAAGCCTATAAAATATAATTATAATCAAACATAATAAGCTTACTACCCTAAATTTTACCCCACGAAAAGCGTACCCAATTAAGGTCGGGAGAGATGCAATATAAGAAACTGACAAAAAACAGTAAATGAAACGGTATGATATGTTTCGTACAAATGATAATTCGGCTAAACAGTGAGAGCTGTGGTAGATTATAGATTTAAAATTTCTTCTACATTCTGTAAGACATAGACTCCTTTCCTCGAACATTTTCTTTACTAAGCTAGCGCAGAACAGTGCATATTTTTTTTATAACATAACATGCGTGTCTCATATGGAGTGATATCGATATCCCTCTCTTTAGCTACCTTCCGCACTTTATATCAGAGCCCTACCTAAATCTTTTATGTCTACTTCGTGAATAATCACATTGTCGACCGCTCCTTCTCGAGAACAGTAGAAGACTGGGGATAGCCAAAGAGTGGTGAACAGAAGAAGGAGAATTTCCATCTATGGTAAAGAGTTAAAAAATAAAAGCGTTTTGAATAAATGTAAAGAAAATCGTGTACTCAGTATCTGCAAGTGAAAAGAAACAAATTTAACCCACTTTAACACAAACCTTCTTTTTCCGGCCGTTTTTGCGGTAAAGGACTCGCTCAGTAGACACTTAATACTTTTTGAACAATCGAATGATTACTAAAACTCACTTTTTTACAGATTTATGATTTCACTTCGCCTCCTTTTGGGTGAATTTTTTCATAATTAAGCGGTTTTGACAACAATAAGATTTAAATTTGAGGGTATGTTGTACTATTTAAATTCTGTTAAAAACAACTTCTCTCAGACTGATCCAAGCATCCTGATCGAAATATGATAATTTACTATCACGGGCGATGAAAAACTGGAAAACTGGAAATTGTGCAGTGTTTTGTCAAGCAAAATAATACGTTATCATATGTCATATTCGATAGTTAAAAATGCGGCCAAAATTTCCCACGAGCAAGCAGAAACCTAACACATACCTGTAATTATGTGTGTTTTTCTCAGTGCGTAAGCGGTCGGTATTCTACAAATCCTGCGATTTGATTGGTTCCGAGAGCGGGCAGTTTTCTCCCATCCGGTCCGCTATCAATGGACGGTATCCGTTTCGTGTTGAGTCGCTTTGCAGAACATTTCTAGCTTCGTTGCAATTTTTCACAAATAGATGTTGTTTTGCCGAAATTGATTTCGAAATAAATTTTATGCACTAAATTAGTTTTTAAATAACTTGACACGCGGCCTAAAAAGCATTTGCAAATTGATGATCCTTTACAAAAAGTAACTTAGAAAGTTAAAACAAGAGGTATTGCAGTTACAATTACGATAATCAATGTGACTCTCGTTCATTTCATATCTACATCATCATCTAAATTCATATACATACCGTAAGTGTCGTATTAAATCCCCTTTTGTCTAGCTACAAAAAAATTAAATGTTTCATTTGACCTTCGGTTTTTTGGTGAAAGAAAGACTGGATTTACACACCCCATTGCGGAAAACAAACAAGCAGACTCTCACAACTTTAAAACATACATTTGAATTCACCAGCAATTTCACTTTCTGTGGCATTTAAACTGATCAGAGGTAAATCTTCGAAGATAAATCGTCGTTGGAAATGAATAATACTTTCCATGAGATCTCTGAGTGTTTTTATGAGAAGATCATCGTGATAATGATTTAACTAATGCGCCATACCGGTACTGTGGTTCATTCAATAGTGTACTTGCGTTTTTTTTCCTTTCCAATTGAAAGGTGTCAGATCTTGACAGATGCTCATCAAAAAAAAATGTTAAAAGTTTACTCAGAAGCCTTTTAAGTTAACTTTATCATTACGTAAATGAAAATGTTTCGGTGAAGCTTCTCCTTAATATTTGAATAACCTCTGTTTTCTTTATAATCTACTCGCTAAAAAATTGTTCATTTTAGGAGGATCTTCCCATAATTAAACTCGTAATTGTGGCCCTAAATCATTCGGGTTCTTTAGACAAGCATTTCGTTAAGTGTTAGAAAAAAACAAATATGTTATTCACCAGCCTAAGTCGGTTCGTATTGGGAAAAACTGTGCCCAAGGTCTTGGGTATCCGAGACCTCGATCACAGTTTTTTCCCAATACGGGCCTCCGAATGGTGAATAATTTATGTATTTAGCTATGATCAGAGAGAATACCGCCTGACAAAATGAACAGTATCTAGTACGCATGATATATTCCAGCATTTTTTTGTAAACGAACTTAACCCCAGTATTAAAAGGTCCATTTTAAATGAAAACTTACCATATTCTCAGCCGTACCTTGTCTATGTGATAAACTACTATCAAGAGAAATTTTATAGTTACATCGGAAGCTTTTCATTTAAATATTCTTCAAAGGAAAATGCTCACGTTTTTTTCACGACTGGTGATAATAGCCCAACGCTTTCTCCATGCATAGAGATCAAATTAAGCTATTTACTTCTTTGGCGGTCTGCCATTGTGTAATGATGCCGGAGATGGGAAGTAAAAACATAATGGCACCTTAAAAATTATGGTGCCTTAAAAATTATGTGTAGGTTTATAATGGCGTAATGAGATAAGATGCTCTGTTGTTAAACGCTTATGTTTTGTTGTGTTATTAATGTTTTCAATTTGTTAGCTCTAAAGCAAAAGGCGAAATTAAGAAAATGTCACTAAAACCCGCAGCTTCGAAGAAAAAGGTTTAATTTCAGTCAATCTTCTATGCACATAGGTTTGTCACAATTTTTACAAGCGGACAAGAAAAATTCCTTCATCCTATAAATAGAAAAACGCGGAGTTCTGTTTGCGTGTACACCTCAGTAAGACAGTTATGTGGTTAATGAAGTATAACAGTTTTCTCTCTTTGATCTTTCTTTGGAATTGCCTTAAATCATCCAATTATCCTGTAGTTACACTGCGCTTCCGAAGGCTTCTGCCCACTATCCAGAGGTTTCCTCGCAATTTGTTCTTAAATTTTATTCTGTTTCTAACCTCGACGTTCTTATGTATAAATCAAAATTTTAAAAAATTATTGATGTAGGTGCATTCGCCTGTGCTTAACGCCGCCTAACCAGTTGGAAAAATTTGTTTACCTCTGCGGAAAACAAATTCTTTCCCAATCTCCACTCGAATCAAAATTCAATCATCCTGAATATCAATCCTTACCAATTCTTCTTAGCACAATTTAAAGAAACTTGAATTTAGTTCTTAGTAATTTTGTAATAAGTTTGAATATATGTGGGACTTCGTCATCCTGTAAACGTGGGCTGTTTCCGTACGAATCGTTAATTCATTACCTCGCGCCTCCCAAAAGCGCAAAAAAAAAACAACGTTTAAAACCCATTTAATGTTTCCGAAAACGTTTACCTTAAGACTCGCGCAGAAGCGGCGCATCCCTTTTCTCATATTTTTTGTTCTGAAACACACGAAATATATGTCAATTCTCTGTAGCCATCAGCATCTAAGTTGATCCGAGACCAAAGTATTTTTTCCTAGTTTAGCATGAAATAAAACCCCCTAAATATTGGATCAATGAGACACGGGGTTTCTTCGGTGGTTGTTGGGAACGTAGTCAAGCCTCAAAGGATTTCAGTCGTTTTATACGCATTGATATTGAGCTTAAAATCAGAAAGAATATTGGTAAGCTGCATGATACTTTTATGTGTCAGCATCCAGTATCCAGTATGTTGTATACGTTTTTCACTTCTCAAATAAAATGACGTTACAACTGCAACCTCGAGTCACTTGACATTGCAGATGTCGCAACGTAATTAGTGGTGCCTTGTTAGGAAAGCCGGTAAAAAAACGTTTGCAGCTGTATGTGAACAACGGCGCTGCAGTAGCAGATTTCTAGATCTACCTCACCGTTCGCTCACTGTGACTTGATTAATTCATGGAACCTTCCTTGAACAGTCAAGTTAAAAAACGCGATAACAACACGTAACAAAGAAATCAGCTTGCGACAAGGCCCTTAGTTAGCGCTGCAGGGCGCGCGTTTATCCGCCCGTGGGAAGCTTTGAAACGAGTCGTGGGGAGGTTTACCGGGGGTCTGACACTAATAATGATTGCTAGACCCCTTACAAACCTCTCGCCGGCTCACGTCGCTCAACCCTTTAACCCCTTAGAGTGACTGGCATCTAATTCCTCCTTACAAGATCACCCCTGAATGAAACAATAAGGTCATGAGAATAAGGGAAATGATCAACAAGTAAAGAAGCTCTTGATTGTTAAACAAATTCTCTTTTTCAGAACCTTAAGAAATTTATAGAGAACAGTATGGAGAATATGCATTCTGATGTTAAGGTGTAATGGGTTAAAACTTACCCGTGGGTGAAGAAACACTCGTGCCGAAGCACTACCAATGATGGCCAAGAGAAAAGAAACTGTGTATATTCTATTAATGAGGCCTGCTCGCGCGCTACTATCGCATTTAAGGAGCTAAGTAAATTAATTGACACTAGTACGACACAAATGCTTGCAATAATTACTGGCTGTTCTGGAATCATAGCCGTGAATTTGGCTACTTGTTACCAATAGATTGAGCAGCAATTGGGGCAATGCAGTTATCTTTATAATAAAACATGCATTTGGCGATTTCAAACGTATTGACTTGGAAAATATCTAAAATTCCTACTCTGAAGAATTCTGGGAGCGGAATGGACTCGATCGTCTGAGTTGGTGATAGCCTGCACAGCTCGCTCGCTTTAGCAAAAAAAATTTCTATCTAAGTTAGATACGTATGTGGACGACCAGGCGGAGTTACAATAGACGATAAGAATAAATCAAAGTGTAGCACAAAGTGAATTTGGTTGAAGAGGATAGGAAAAAGTGAGACCTAAATATGATACCTGTTTATTTTAGTGATTTTTTTACATACTATATTTTATTTAGCAGATTGTAGCTTCAATGGATGCCAGAAATATTTTATGAAAATCTGGCAGATACAGTTTTGTATTGTACTCCAGGATATACATCTTTCCCAAAAGATGGTATTTCTTCAGAGGATAATTAAAACTTAAATGCATTCTTTAATCAGTATAAAAGACGATTTTTTTGAACGACGTAGCCAGAAAAGACCAGTCTACACACTAAAACTTGACCAAGAAGGTAAGATTGTCCGTGACAAAAATGGCATCCTTGTTGTTTTGGTAAAGAGTTATGTTCAAGGAGAGCTTAAGACTACAAAGCAACTTCTCTACAGAGAGGCTATAGATGGTGTATTAAGCAGTTTACACTACATTAAAGGTGTCCTTGGAGAGGATACTTGCCTCCTTGGAGGGGTGAATGCCTTGAGTAGGCTATTCAATCAAAAATATGTATTTAAGGGTATTTTCAACCTTATTAGGGCCTTCTTGGCTCGATGTTCAACATGTCAGATGAACAATCCCTTTCCAACGCGAGTGCTTCCCCCTCCTTTCACCATTAGATCTTTTCGCCCCCATTCTCATTTATATTTTTATTCCAGTTCGGTGTCACAAGTGAAAGGGTTTGGCCATGTACGTGCCGAATGCCCGACGAGACGCGGCCCGGTTGTGCCCCACCAATAAAAGCAAGCGGCAGATCAGGCAAAGGAAGTGATAGTGATTAACTATCATTTTCAGGCCTCTCTTGACAATGTAAGATTTCACTAATAAGGTTAGTGAGTTATCTTACATTGCCAAGAGGTTTATTTTATACTTTAATATTAATAATCAATTAAATAAAAACGTACACGTGATTTATCAGTATTATAAATTTAATGTATATTGTTTTTTTTTATTTTTACGTGAGCTTAATGATCTTGTTTAAGACAGCCATATTAGTACGTCAATGTGATCGGAAGACATTAAATATTTGGAAGAGAAACTTAAAACTTTTCCTTTGCTGACATAGATTTGTCTTTTGTTAAGCCCTACTAAGTGACTCTCGATGTCATGTCAAGTTCTCCATTGGTTCCACAAGTAAACAGACACCATGTTGGAATGAGACGATAGTAGTTCATCCCAAGTCACCAAGGGCTTCTTTTGCACTCAACCCTTTAATTATTCTGTTACAATGTTTTATCTGACGGTGAATAGTACCCGTGGGCCTCTACATTGATGTTTACTTTGCTTGTCAAGCAAAGATAAATCAATAGTTTGCCGTCAATATATGCACATGCATCTGTGTATACAGAGACTTCTGGGGAAATTTCTCATTGCCTGAAAACATTTTTAACGCTAACTTGACTTAAATTCCAAGGGTGTGAGGAATATGCAGACCCTTTTCAACAATCAGAA